GGCCACTTGGGCCATCATGGGGCTCTCTTGGGGGCCTCTTGGGCGATCTTGGGGGCTTCTTGGGCCGTCTTGAGCCGTCGGAGAGCCGAAAAGGCGCAAATGCCAAAATCCTTCAAAAACCAAGGGAAAATCAATGATTTTGGCCTCTTCGGACTCTCCTGGAGGACCTCTTGGAGGCCTCTTGGGCCGTCTGGGAGGCCTCTGGGGGGCCTCTTGGGCCGTCTTGGGCCGTCTTGCACTCTCTTGGGCCGTTTTCGAGGCCGTCTTGGACCATCTCGGGCGGACTTGGAGGCCATCTTGGGCCATCGTCGCGATTTTTTGAGGATGTCCCTAGCGAAACGGCCGTTTTTGGGCAGGAAATTGGGGAATTGAGGTCCTGGAAGGGTGGCCGGCGGGACGGGCCGAAGCCCACTGGGGAGTTCTTTTAGAAAAAGAACCAAAACCAAAACCTGAACAGCTCGTCCAGCACGCCGTGCACCCTGCAAGCAGGGGGCGGCGGATTTGGTGGCCGTCGGCCCATCCCGCCACCGTGCCTGGGTTGTGGGCCAGAGCCCACTTGAACACCTCTTGGAGTTTTCTCTTGGGATACTTCTTAGAGGCCTCTTGAAGACCTCTAGGGGCCTCCTGAAGGCCTCTGAGGGTGCCTCTGAGGGTTTCCTTTTGGCGCTTCTTGGAGGCCTTCTGTGACCTCTTGGGCGATCTTCGGGGACACTTGGGCCGTCTCGGGCCGTCGGAAGGCCGAACAACAAGCAAATGTCACAATCCTTCAAAAACTCCAGGGAAATCAATAATTTTGGCCTTTTCGGGCCTTCCTGGAGGCCCTCTTGGGGGCCTCTTGGGCCGTCTTGGTGGGCTCCTGGCACGTCTGACGCCGTCGGGAGCCGTCTTGGGGGCCTTTCTGGGCCGACTTGGGGCCCTCTTGGGGCGCTTCGGGGCCGTCTTAGAGGCCATCTTGGGTGTCTTGGATGCCTCTTGGCCCGTCTTGGGGCCCTCTTGGGGCCATCTTGGGGGCCTCTTGGGCCGTCATGGGGCCATCTTGGAGGCCTCTTGGGCGATCTTGTGGCGACCTTGGGGGCCTCTTGGGCCGTCTTGGGCCGTCGGAAAACCGAAAAGGCGCAAATACCCAAATCCTTCAAAAACCTGAGGAACATCAAGGATTTTGGCCTCTTCGGGCCTTCCTGGAGGACCTCTTGGAGGCCTCTTGGGCCGTCTTGGAGGCCTCTTGGGAGCCTCTTGGGGCGTTTTGGGCCATCTTGAGGCCATCTTAGGGCGTCTTGGGTGCACCTCGGGCCGTCTTGGAGGCATCTTGGGGCCATCCTAGCCGTCTTGGAGGCCATCTTGGCCCTCTTGGAGGCGTCTTGGAGGCCATCTTGGACGATCTTGGGGACCGTCTGGAACGGAAAACCCTTTGCAACCAGCAAGCAAGCAAAGGTCCGATCGGACGCCTCAAAGCGTCACGCCCCACTCGTGAGGACGGCGAAGCGGTAAAACAGGCCTGCCATGGCGAGCAACGCTGGCGGCGAAGGAGAAAAATTGGATGCAGTATTGACAGGCGTGCTTGAGGGGATGGGAGGAGGAGGAGGGAAGAAGGAGGGGGAGGTGAGGGGGGGAGGGCGACGGAAATCAGTTGTTCATGTACTCAATATACTCTTTCTCCAGTATGGACCACTTCTTTCCTGAAAACTCTCGGAATGCTTGTGCCAAAGTCCGCTCTTCCTTGCTGCGCAGAAAAGCAGACACGCTGTCGGTCCACCGGGTTTTGGGACGACCGCGTCGCCGAACAGATCCATGTGGGGTCCACGCCGACACTTGGTGCGGCCAGCTGCAAAGATGCGCCGCGATTCTGGTCAACAACCGCCAACGTGCACGGTCGATGCACGCAACCCAATGCGGAACATCTATAATTGACAATGCATGTCGTAATTTTTCTTTGCACCGTCTGCCAGCGTCCTGCCAGGACTCTGTTGGAAGTTTGTTGAAACCAACAATCTTGCGAAGCATCTGCATACGCGTTGATGCTATTCTGTCGCGCTGCTGCTGGGTGAGAGCAGTGGTAGCCAGGCCAAAGACTGCGGTCGGCGTGATAACCGCGTTGAATAACTTCAACCGTAGCTTCAACGATATTACTTTGTTCAACAATACATGTTTGTTTGCATGATACTTGCTCCATGCGCATTCCAAGCGGTAGTTCAGGTTGCGCAGGGACCGCTCCTTCACATCGCCACTAAACTTCTTGCCAAAGTACTTGTGGCAGTCGTGCTTATTCATCACAAACGAATCATGGCCGTCGAATCCAAAGGGCACTGGCTGTTCCGCGCAGGCCCAGGCAATGTCATTGGTGAAGACCTTCGTCTTGCTGGCGTTCAACGACAGACCGCACGCGGCGAGCTCGTCGATCAACTCTCGGAGCATCACGGCGCACTCATCCGCCGAGTTCCCGTGTAGGAGAATGTCATCCGCATAGCGAATGTTGCTCAATCGCTCTGGCCCTCCTACGTCGATTCCACTGTCAGGGAAGCGGCTCTTGAAACGCCGGATCGCGTCCTCCAGCCCGGCATTGAACAAAAGCGATGACAATACGTCGCCTTGTTTCACCACGCGCGTGATGTCGAAAGGCTCACTGCCGTTGACCACGCCTGTCTGTTGGTCGTAACCGTCGGAGAGAAGCCGCAGATATGGCTCGGGGACACCTTGCCGGTCCAGCGCCTCAAACAGAGAGTGGTGCTCGATGCGATCGAAGGCCTTCGTAAGATCGATACTGACTACCCACATCGGTTCCGCCCATTCCCAGCATTTGGAGCAAATTTCTTCCAGCACGACAAATGCATCGTCTACGGATCGTTTCGGTCTGAAGCCGACCTGATCCTCTGGCTGCTCGGCGTCGAGAATAAGCTGTAATCTTTCGAATCTCATTCTCGAACAGATTTTGTACGTGATGCGAAGCACCGCAAGTAGGCGCCAATTCTTCGCCTCCCGTCGATCTCCAGACTTGGGTAGCATCATGAAGAACGTCTCTCGCCAGGCTGGTTCCATGAGTCCGGCACGGAGAATTGCATTCAGGCCTTCCAGCAACATATCGTTCAAGACGTCTCCCCCGTGCAAGAACATCTCCAGAATGACCCCTGCCCTGTCTGCACACTTACTTCGTCCCATCCGCGCCATAGCGCCCCTCATTTCAGAAAGGGAAAAATCAGGAATATCGTACGAACCACTGTTGCAGTAAGAGCTAGACCACTCGCCTCGTTGCTGCGCGCTGACAGTTTTGAATGCTTCCTGCAAGGATGCACGGAAAGCGTCGGCTGCAATCGGGCACCGGCGGCTCTGTTGAGCGGGGAACATGTGAAGACGAGGTAGGTGTTTGATGCCCGTGAACTTCTCCAACTGCTTTTGCGCCCGGTCGTCGAAATACTTTCGCATGTGTTTCCGGAGTTCCTTGTTGATCATTTTGGACAATTGCGCCCTCTCGACCTTGTTTGTCGTCTCCCACCTCTCCTTGCGAAGATGTTGAACTGTGTGTTCTCGCCAAGGCCGTCGTTCATCAGAAAGTTGATGCGTTGCGGCTTCAGCTGCCGCAGCTGTCACAGCAGTTTCGACGTCTCTCAATGGCGCACCTGAATTGTGCAAATGATCTCCCACCAGAGCCTCGTACTTATGGTCGCGACGATCTGGCCCGAGCGTAGGGTTCCATCTTCGACGAAGCTGCCCGTTCGTCTGCTTGCGCTGTTTGTGCAGAGAATGGTGAAAGATGGCATGCACAGCCCTATGGTCAGAACCCATGTCAAGACTCCGAATAGGACAACAAGACAATGGGATTCAACGAGCATCGCAAAAGATGTCATCAATACGCCGCTTGAGTCCCAACGAAGATTCGAACGTCCACTGCACATTCAGATCGTCATTTACTGGGTCTACCACATTTCCCGCCACCATGTTGTTAGATTGAAAGAACTCCTGGAGCAGAGACCCTCGCCGTCCGACGTCGTACTGGGTGTTAAAGTCTCCGCCAATGATCACGCGTCTCTTCCTGCCACGTGCAATGTCTAGCTCCTTCTGCAGATGGACGTAGCACTCCACAAGCTCGTCGTGCGGATACCCGGCATGAGGCATATACACTGCAATTACTGTCAAAGGGAAAGCGTGCAAACGCACGTTAACTGCTTCGACCCGTCCGTCGTGAGAGCGGAAACCCTGAACAACATCGGCATGTCTGGCGTGAATCACCACAGCGGTGCCGGCACATGCTTGTTCTCCCAAAGCCGTGATCAAACGATGCCCTCCGTCCAAGTCCACATCGTCATTCTTGGCACGCGCCTCCGATAAACAAATCAAATCCCATTCAATATCTTCTAGTTCGCCCAAAAGTTGTGCTTGCCTGTCAGGATTGTGTATATGTACATTCTTGCAATAAATATTGAATTCTGTGAAACTGCCTTGTTCGTCCGATCGGTGCTGTCCCTACCATCCCTTGGATGCTCCTTTCCCCTTGCCCTTGCCCTTGGTGATGCCTTTCTCGTGCCCTTTGCCCTTCTGCTGCTGCTTGTTGTTCATCTTTTCCTTGGCCTTCGAGAACATGTTGTCAAGCTCTTCGGAACGAAGCTCCTCCTGCCAACCGGCCAACCGGTTTCGAAATCGATATCGAAAGTGCCGGCCCGAACCATGGAGGAAAGAACCTTCTCTGCGCCAAGAAAGAGCGTGGCCGTATCGCGATCCACCCAAAGAGCAGTTTTCGACCATCCCCATTCCACCATCATCTTTTTAATAGCAAAAGTGAACGACTCGGGAAGACGCTCCTCCAAAGGACGATCGATGTTAGCCCACACGCGAGTACCGTTCCATTCATGGCCGCTGTCCCTCATCTTATGAATCGCTCTGTCTCTCTCTGCCTCTGTTGAGAACTGGACAAACAACAAACCATTGAAGAACCCTTTCGCAAAAACTGAGGCTGGGACAGGTCCCCCACCAGCAGAAAGCACGTTGCACAACCATTTGCAAGCATCAGCCTCGCTCCACTCACCGCCAAGGCCACCGAAGACAGCTGTGAACGAGTTATGGCTGAGCTTGCCAAGCTGAGCCTCGAGCTTAGCAATCTTGGCGTTGAGCTCGGCCTCCATCTCATTGCCATTGTCCGGCTTCGTGGCTCCCGAGACCGAATTTGCACGTGAGACGCCCCTCGACAAAGCGGCATGTAGCTCTTCCATTTGTATCTTTTGGACCTTCATGTCCGACTCCACAGATTCGAAACGAGCGTCCACCTCAGCACTCATGTTGTCGAAGTTCGTCTCGATGCGAGCGACACCATCTTGCAACGTACGAACATCCGATATGAGAGGTTTCAAGTTCATAGCAAGGAACTTTGCAATCGACTCGTTCTTGACATTCTCCTTGAAAAGCTCCCTGGCCGTCTCATCCACAATGCCTGCTGCTGCCACCGCTGCTCCAACGTCATCGTCGTCGCCGTCCATCTGGTGCAACGGACTGGACAAACGAGCCCGCTTGTCTTGAGGGACTGGCGTGGACGGCGCAATCGACGCAGCTGCAGAGGCACTCGATGACGCCTCGCCTAACACTCCGCACACTGGAGTGCCTGGACGCCGGGTGTTCGCCGCCATGATAAAAGGCTTGCGCAAAACAGTGCACGAGGAATGGACGATACAGTATGGGAACGAGGAAGCTAAGCGGGTACAGGTGCGATCGGGAATTTAAGGGGTTACAACTCCTGAGCTCTGAGCTCTTGAGCCAAATTTTCGGGTCCGGGCAAATTTTCGGCATCCTTCTGGGTGGCCGGCGGGTCGGGCCGAAGCCCCAGGGGGAGGGAGTTCTTTTGGAAAAAGAACCAAAACCGAAAGCCATATCGTCTGGCACGCCAGGCACCCCTTTGATAAATCAAAAGGGGGCGGCGGACCTACTGGCCTTCGGCCCATCCCGCCACCGTGTCTGGGTCGTGTGTGATGGGTCTGTTGGATGCATGTTGGGGTATGTTCGAGTCACATTGTCTGAGCCGTTGAAGTGGTAATAACTGGGCGCCACGTAGACGAGACTCAGTTGTTCCCTGAAGCGTTACTTTTGTTTGTCTTGCGTATCATCAAAGAAGCCCCCCTTGAGGTATGTCGCGCGTATGCGTGACGTGGTACAAAATAAATCACGAGGCATATCGTGTGTATGCCTTAAGTGATGCCAGGCAAGTACCACCACACGTATATTGTTGATATGCCTCAAGTGGTACCAATCGTGTGCCATTTGAGGCGTCTCGTCTGCATGCCCCCAGTGGTACCAGACAAGTGCCACTGGAGGCATGACGTCTGTATGCCTCAAGTGTTACCGGGCAACTTGAGGCATGTCGTCAGTCTGTCTAACGTGGCGCCTATCAAGTACCGCTCGAGGCATGTTGCAGTTCGAAGCTTCTTGGGGGCTGTTTGGGGGCCTTTTGCGGCCTCTTTTGTATCTTTTTGGGGCCTTTTGTGGCCTCTTCGGGACCTCTTTGGGGCCTCTTGGGGCTCTTGGGGCCCTCTTGGGGCCTCCTGGGGCCCTCTTGGGGCGGAAGGCAAAACATTTTCGGTTCGTGGTCCCTCTCTTGGGCCCCTTTTGGGACTGTCTTGGTGGTTTCTTGGGTTGTCTTGGAAGCCTCTTCGGCCGTCTTGGAGCCCTCTTGGGCCGTCTTGGGGCCCTTCTGGAGGCCTCTTGGGCCGTCTTGGCGCGATCTTGGGGGCCTCCTGGACCGTCTTGGAGCGTAGGGAAGCCGCACAGGGGAGAACGTCCAAAATCCTTCAATTACTCCGACGATGGGACCCCACATGAGAATCAGTTTAGCTTGCCCCTCGCTTGTTCCTCTTCGCCTTGGCGGAGACCCTCCTTCCGCCCTCTGTTGCGCCTCCTCCTCATCATCGTCGTCATCATCATCAGCATCGTCATCATCATCATCATCATCATCATCATCATCATCATCATCATCAGCAGCAGCATCATCATCATCGTCATCATCGTCGTCATCATCATGGTCATCATCATTCTCATCAGCATCATCATAATCATCATCATCATATTCTTCGTCATCGGCATCGTCATCATCATCAACATCAGCACCAGTATCAGCATCATCAGCATCAGCAGCATCACCGTCATCATCACCACCATCACCACCACCACCACCACCACCATCATCATCATCATCATCATCATCATCATCATCATCATCATCATCATCGCCCTTCGTCTCCTCCTCCTCCTCCCCCTCCTCCTCCTCCTCCTCCTCCTCTTCCTCCTCCTCCTCCTCCTCCCACTCCTTCTTCTCCTCCTTCTCCTCCTCCTCCTCCTCCTCTTCCTCCTCCTCCTCCTCCTCCTCCTCCTCCTCCTCCTCCCCCTTTCCTCCTCCTCCTTCTCCCCGCCATCCTCTCCACTGTCCCGCCTGTTCTCCCCGTGCACCTCCCCTGCCTCCTGGCCAGGACCAATTAGTTTTCCTCGGCGCCGTTGCCGCCACGGCCGGCATGGGCGGGCTCTCCGATGGCTGGATCGTGAAGCTGTTGGGACAGCTCCGCGGGCGAGGCCGTTGGGACAACCCCGCGAGTCGCTGGGGCGCGGGAGCCAGCCGTTGGGACAACCCCGCAAGTTTCGAGCTAGACGCGGCCGCGCTCAGGCGGGGGCTAGCGCGAAGCCCAGCTTTGCCGCGAGCTGCTCCGCCTCAGCCATGGAGATCTCCGCTTTCTTGTTGAACTCCTCGGGCGCTTTCCGCATGGGCGCCGCCAGCCCGCGTTCCAGGAATTCGTGCGTGGGCGGCCGCAGGATCAGCATGTTCAGCATGCGCCTGGCGCGGAAGAACATGACGCAGTAACAAGATTCCAGGCCCCAAGGGTCCACAAGTGACGACGCGTACAGGTTTTCGGGGGACGCGCTCGGATTAGTAAGATAATCTGCGGGCCCCACAGGGAGAGGGCCCCGCCTGTTACTTTTTCGGATAGACGAGGCTCCCACCTCGGACCCCCGAACTGATGACAGTTACAGGTTTGCGGATGACCCACTCGGATTGGTAACGTGATCTGCGGGCCCTATCGGGAGAGTGCCCCCGCTTGAGGTTTCCTCGTAATTCATTCACCGACGAGGCTCCCGCTTGATACTGCCTTCGTATTCAGGCATGAGGACCTCCCAAGGTGACGATAGTTACAGGTTTGCGGATGACCCGCTCGGATTGCCAACGTGAAGTGGGGGCCCCATAAGGAAAGGGCTCCCGCATTAGACCTCCTCGCAATTCCCTCACAGACGTCGCTCCCGCTTGATACTTCCTCCATGTTCAGGCGTTAGGGCCCCCCAAAATGACGACAATGTCATGTTTGCGGATGACCCGCTCGGAGTACCAGCATGAAGTGCGGGCCTCATAGGGAATACCCCCCGCTCGAGATTTTCGAAATTCAGTCACAGACGTGGTTCCCGCTTGATATATCTTCCATGTTTATGCATGCGGACCCCCCAAAGTGACGACAGTTAGTTGTTTGCGGATGGCCCGGTCGGATTGCCAACATAAAGTGTGGGCCCCATAGGACAACGGGCTCCCGCCTGAGATCTCTTTATAATTCAGTCACAAATGAGGCTCCCGTTTGATATTTTGCCAATGTTCAGGCCATGGGAACACGCAAGTGATGATGTTGATGTTGATGATGAGGATGTTTTTCGATGTTGATGACTGGTAAGTGATGGTGGTGGTGGTAGGGGTGGTGATGATGGTGATGACCACGGTGTGGTTGCGAATGGGTGAATGATTGAGGATGCGCGAGCGAATGGGTGAGTGAATAAGGGCGTGGTGGTGATGATGATGCGGTTGCTGCTGCTGCTGATGATGATGATGGTGGTGTGATGTCAACGGTTATGTTGGTGATGGATGCTCTCATGGTGTTGATGAAGATGGTGGTGTTGTTGTCGACGATGATGATGGTGACGATGGTAGTGATGGTGTTGGTGATGGTGAGGTGTGAGTCAGTGGATGAGTGAGTGAGTGAATGAATGAGTGAGTGAGTGAGTGAGTGAGTGAGTAATGTGGAGAGGAGAGTGGTGTCGGTGACACGATTGCGCGGGATGTCCAGAGAAATCCCCCCCCCACCCAGGATGTAGGGGAAACCAAAGGGACAATCAATGATTTTGGCCTCTTGGAACCCTTTTGGGAAGCCTCTTGGAGCCCTCTTGGGCCGTTTGGGGGCCATCCTGGGCGTCTTGGTGCGATCTCCGGGCGTCTCGGGACCATCTCGGGCCATCTGTTAGGTTTCGTGAGGCTCTCTTGGCCCGTCTTGAGGCCCTCTAGGGCCCGAGCAACTCACGCGACAATATGCAAGGAAACCCCCGGCACGACGCGGGACGCCCGGGTAGATTGGGAGTCTGGGACCCTAAGAGACTGCTCAGGAATGAGTATTGAGGCTTAGGGGATTGGGGCCAGAACTTGAGGGCATGCCCATTCCGTGCCGAAGGGCACGGTGGCGGATATGTATGTATGTATGCATGCATGCATGCATGTACGTATGTGCGTACGTTTGTATGTATGTTTGTAGTTAGGTAGGTCGGTAGGTAGATAGGTCGGTAGGTAGGCATGCATGCATGTATGTATGTATGCACGCATTTATGTCTGTATGTCTGTACGTATAAACGCACGTACGTACGTATGCATCTATGTATGCAACATATGTATTCGTGTATGAATGCATGCATGTATGCATGTATTATTGTTTGTATCTATTTGTGTAGGTATATATGTATGTATGTCTGTAGGTAGGTAGGTCGGTAGGTCGGTTTGTAGGTAGGTAGGTCGGCAGGTATATCGATAGGATGCATGCATGTCGATCTGTATATACTTACGCACGCGTGCATGTACGTATGCATGTAGGTGCATGTATGTATGCAAGAGTTATGGGCTGTAATGTAATATGATGGAATTTAGTGTAGGGTAATGTAATGTAAGAATGCGTACATACATGCACGCAGGCACGCATGCACGCGCGCCTGCATGTATGTGTGTGTGTGTGTCCGTCTGTCTGTCTGTCAGTTTGTCTGTCTGTCTGTCTGTGTGTGTGTATGTATGCATGTGTGTGTGAATGTATGTATGTCTATATCTATATGTACAGAGAGAGAGATAGGGAGGGAGAGAGGGAGGGAGGGAAAGAGAGAGAGAGAGATCCAGGAAAAGAGAGAGATACAGATAGAGTGAGAGTGAAACAGAAAGGCGGCGAAGCATTGGGCCAGGTAGGCGAGGCTGCCGCCGCTGTCGCCGCGGCTGCCGCTGTCATCATTGTTACCGCTGTTGCACCTACCGCTGCCCCGCGGTTGCTGCTGCCGCTGCAGCTACTGTCGCGGTTGCCGCCGCTGCAGCGCGGCGCGTGCGTGCGCGCGGAAGGCGTGCCGTCGGTGGTCACCCAGGGCGGCGAGGTGCCGGTCGGGGGGACCGGTTGGCAGGCCGACGTCGCGCACCAGTTGGGCAGAGTTAGGGGGACGCAACTTCGGCGCCCCTCGAGGTGCTGGATGTGAGGTGGCGTTCGAGGGCGGTGAGGTGCAGGCCAGGGGGACCAGGGCGCAGCCCGGAGTTACGCACCAGCTGGCAGAGTCTTCCGAGGTGCCGGATCGCATCACCAGCCGGATTCCGACCACTTTCGGCTTCGGGGTATCTTGAAGTTTCTTGTTGTATCCCCGTAATCCGCGCGGGTATGCGACAAATTTTTGTAAACCCATTCCAACTCTATGTGGAGATGAGGCTCGCCATTTCAGTGGTTATGGGAGAGAGTGTTACGTGCGTGCGCCACGCATGTATCTCACACCAGTTGGCTTACAGGGTAGCAACCCGCGGCCATGTTATGATGAGGGAGGGGGAGATGGGAGGAGAGGGAAGAGGAGAGCACAGGTGAGGGTTGAGCTGAGGAGGAGGACGAGGGGACGAGTGGAGGAACAAAAACCATCCCCCTCCTCCTCCTCCTCCTCTTGATCCTCCTCATCCTTCTCCTCTGCCCACACGGCGGGAGGGGGGATCGGGAGCAGCCTGGACTCGAGCGGTAGTCGGCTTGTCCGTCCGAAGTCCAGGGGGACATCTCTGGGCGTCACCAGGGTACGAGGTGGGGGCTTTCGACGGTCTTGGGGAAGGGGAGGCGGGAGGAGGAGGAGGGGATGAGGGGACGAGGAGACCATGGGCGGAGGAGAGGAAGAGAGGAAGCGAGGAGGGACAGGGAAGGATTGCAAGCTAGGCGCGCTCGCGTCATATCTGACGTGACCGTTCGTTCGTTGCGAAATTAACGCCCATGCCAGGTCTAGGCATCGCAACGTGTCCCCCTCGCCCATGCATTTAAATGTTGACGGGAAGCGATGAACCCCTCGCAAGAGCGGGCGTTTATTTCGCAACACTTCGCCCTCCCTTCCAGCGCGGTCTTCCGCCAATTTTGAGATACGAGGTGTCGGGGGCCCCTTTCGGTGCTTTTCCTGGTGGACGTTTGTTTACCAAACGTCGGATTCGTCCGCCTGTTCGATTGAGAACCCGCCCTGCAGACTGGAGAAGGTTTGTTTTATATCTTGTAAAGCAAAAACAAAACGCAACCAACCAATCGACCGACCACGACGGCGACGGACCGACCGACCGATCGACCGACGACGTCGATAGACTGACCGACCATCCTGTCCGTCTGGCCGCACCGACGATGACGACGACGCCGACCCACGACGACGATGACCGACCGACCGACCGTCGACAACGACCGACCAACCCACACGCCGACCGACCGACCGACCGACGACCGACGACCGACTGACTGACCGACCGACCGACCGACTCGCTGACCCACACGCCGACAGATTAACCGGCTGACCGCCCGACCGACGATGACGATGATGGATTGACCGACCGGCCGACAGGGAATCCTTCCCCCGCACAATCGCACACTCGTCTGCAGATCCGCGGCTCCGTGGTTTCCAGTTCTTGTGGGTACAGGATGTGTATCATCAGTTTATATTTGATGCAAGAAGAGAAAGAGATCCACGAAGTTTGTGCGCCAAAATATGGGATCTGGAAGATAAAGAATTGGGACTCACGATATTCTTGCACACGCACAAGGGGATCCAATGGGATCCATCATTCCCAAAACAGTGCTTGCACTTAAGGGTTCTTTTTTGTTAATCAGGAACTGGGCCGGTGCGACCGTCTGGCGGCTATGCTGTCGCCGTCGTCGCCCCGTCGCCGCCTCGTCGCCGCCCGTCGTTTGGGCTGGTTCGGCGGTCTGGCGGCTATATTGCCGCCGTCGCCGTCCCGTCGCCGCTTCGTCGCCGCGTCTGGCGGCTATATTGTCGCCGTTGCAGCCCTGTCGCCGCCTCGTTGCCGCCCGTCGTCTGGGCCTGAGTGGCGGTTTTGTGGCTATTTTGTCACCGTCGCCGCCCCGTCGCCGCCTCGTCGCCGCCCGTTGCAGATTGCACGACGTTGCGCCACATAGATTTTCCTTTTTAAAAAAGAATAGACTCTACCCCCCCCCCCCGGGCGTTATCCCCCCCCCCTTTCGGGTATGTAAATCATATACGATTCTGACCACATGTCCATCCTAAATATGAATTTGCACTATCCCGGAGGGGCCGGGATCGCTCCCCCTGAGGTTCCCGTGTAAAAAACGATACACGGGGACAGTTTTTGTTCTAACATAAGACTTTTTCGCGAATCCCTTGCAAAAAATGGGACGGAGTGCGCACGCGCGCGTCGTCGCGCGCGCATGCCGAAATCCTTCAAAAACCTTCGGCGTCGGAAGGATTTCGCAATCGCTTTTCCAAAACACATACAACAACACAGGGTTTCGCAACACTGATCTGCTAAAAAAGCTTCCGCGCGAGCTCTTGCGAAATCTTGAGAAAACCATGGGTTTTTCAAGATTTTCACAAAATGCTACCAAACGGGCTTCGCGCGCGCGCATGTCGAAATCTGTCGAACGCCCTTGCGCGTGTGCCGTCGCGAGAATCCTTTGCAAAAATAGGACGAAGTGCAGACACGCGCGTCGTCGCGCGCGTATGCCGAAATCCTTCAAAACCCATCGGCTTCGGAAGGATTTCAACATCGAGTGTCAAAAAACCTACAAAACACAAAGGTTTCGCAACACGGATTTTCAACAAAAGCTTGCGGGCGCGCTCTTGCGTCGTCGTCGTCGTCGTCGTCGTCGCCGTCCTCCCTCCTCCCGCGTCGTCGTCGTCGTCGTCGTCGTCGCCTACGTCGTCCTCTGTCTTTCCTCGTGTTCGTCGTCGTCGTCCTCTTTGGCGTCGTGGTCATTTCCGTCGTCGTTGTCGCCGCGGTCGTCCTTCCTCCTCCTCCCTCGTCGTCGTCGTCGTCCGTCGTCGGCGTTTCGTCGTCGTCCCTCCTATTTCGTCGCCGTCGTCGTCGTCGTCGTCGTCGTCGTCGTCGTCGTTGTCGTCGTCGTCGTCTTCCCTCCTCCCTCGTCGTTGTCGTCGTCGGCGTCGCCGTCCTTCCTCCTTCTTCGTCGTTCGCGTCGTCGCCGTCCTCCCTCCTCCCTCGTCGTTGTCGTCGTTGTCGTTGTTGTCGCCGTCGTCGGCCTCCCTCCTTCCTCGTTGTCGTCTTCGTTGGCGACGTCGTCGTCGTCTTCGTCGTCGTCGTCGGCGTCGGCGTCATCGTTGTCTTCGTCGTCGTCGAGGTCGGCGTCGTCGTCGTCGCCGCCGTCGTCGTCGTCGTCGTCGTCGTCGTCGGCGTCGTTGACGTCGTCGTCGTCGTCGGTGTCGTCGTTGTCGTCGTCGTCGGCGTCGCCATCGTCGTCGTCGTTGTCATCGTCGTCGTCGGCGTCGGCGTCGTCGTCGTCGTCGGTGTCGTCGTCGTCGTCGTTGTCGTCGTCGTCGTCGTCGTTGTCGGCGTCGTCGAAGTCGTTGGAGACGTCGTCGGTGTCGTCGTAGTCGTTGTCGGCGGCGTCGTCGTCGTCGTTGGCGCTGTCGTCGTCGGCGTCGCTGTCGTTGCCAAGTGCGTACCCACCGTCACGGTCTTAAGAGATTTTGCAAACCAAGTTGCGGGTGGGTGGGTGGGATGTTTGCGCGAGCAGTGTAGTGGACAACTCACTGCGAGCAGAAATTAATTACACCACAGAGTGCTCCACATAAAGTGCACAAGATAATTGCACCGCATATATTGAACACATCGATTGCTCCACAAAGGTTGCTTCACCTGTACTGAACGAGATATATTGCACCACGTAGATTACACTGCATAGGTTGCACCACACAGGTTGCACCACAAATATTGCGCCACATACATGGCACCACGTATATGCTCCTTTCTAAAAAGAGAATAGACTCTACCCCCCCCGGGCGCTATCCGCCCCCATTTCGAGTATGTAAATCGTACTTGATTCTGACCACATGTCCAACCTAAATATGAATTTACACTATCCCGGAGGGGCCGCGATCGCTCCCCCTGAGGTTCCCTTGTAAAAAACGATGCGCGGGGACAGTTGTTGTTCTAACATAAGACTTTTTCGCGAATCCCTTGCAAACAATGGGACGAAGTGCGCACGCGCGCGTCGTCGCGCGCGCATGCCGAAATCCTTCAAAAACCTTCGGCGTCGGAAGGATTTCGCAATCGCTTTTCGCTTTTCAAAAACACATACAACAACACAGGGTTTCGCAACACTGATCTGCTAAGAAAGCTTCCGCGCGAGCTCTTGCGAAATCTTGAGAAAACCATGGGTTTTTCAAGATTTTCACAACATGCTACCAAACGGGCCTCGCGCGCGCATGCCGAAATCCTTCAAAAACCTTCGATGTCGGAGGGATTTCGCAATCGAGTTTCCAAAAGACATGCAAAAACACAGGGTTTCGCAACATTTATTTGCTAAACATGCTTCCGCGCGTGCTCTTGCGGAATCTTGAGAAAACCATAGGTTTTTCAAGATTTTCAAAAAATGCTATCAAACGGGCTTCGCGCGCGCGCATGTCGAAATCTGTCGGACGCCCTTGCGCGTGTGCCGTCGCGAGAATCCTCTGCAAACAATTTGACGAAGTGCAGACGCGCGCGTCGTCGCGCGTGTATGCCGAAAACCTTCAAAACCCATCGGTTTCGGAAGGATTTCAAAAGCGTGTGCCCCAAAAACATACAAAAACACACGGTTTCGCAACACGGATTTTCAACAAAAGCGTGCGCGCGCGCTCTTGCGTCGTCGTCGTCGTCGTCGTCGTCGTCGTCGTCGTCGCCGTCCTCCCTCCTCCCGCGTCGTCGTCGTCGTCGTCGTCGTCGCCTACGTCGTCCTCTGTCTTTCCTCGTGTTCGTCGTCGTCGTCCTCTTCGGCGTCGTGGTCGTTTCCGTCGTCGTTGTCGCCGTGGTCGTCCTTCCTCCTCCTTCCTCGTCGTCGTCGTCCGTCGTCCGTCGTCGGCGTCTCGTCGTCGTCCCTCCTATTTCGTCGCTGTCGTCGTCG